ATCACCAGTTTTGCCGGCATGTCTCTGCATTACATTGGCTTAGGAACTTAGTTCCAAGATGATTTTTAGATATAGATGGATGGAGCTGAAGGAAAAGAAGTAATAGTTTGTTTTGCATACCCTTATTAGAACAGGGCCTAGAAACATCATCATCTTCCCTTTTACTCGTTTACTTAGCAGTTGTATCTGATTCATATTCTAACAAGGACTTTCATTATACTGCTTGCTAATAAACATGTTTGCCATTGTTGCCATAACATAGTGGTTCAGCTCCAGATTGTGCTGTAGTCATGAAATTAAGTTGCCTCTTGTGGAATGCCACCAAAGAATAGTTGATTTCCACCCCAGTGACTGTATTAACACTCTTCCCTCATCACCAGCACATGAACCATTCCAGACTGTTCTTACTAGACTAGTCAGTTTGTGGGATTTCAGGAGAGGTACGTATAGATGTTACCTGAGAAAAATATGAGTAATTTTTTCTAGATTGTTATGCAGCATAACAAAGATCAGGGAAAAAAGGTTTACCATGAGCTGTCATTATAAAAACTGTGCATTTTCTGAAGTGCAAAAGTACAAATGAAGCATATGGATTAATGGAACAATTATTGTAAGCCCTATGTGCAATATATTTTCTATATAATATGCATTATATTGACAAGCACTAAGTACCAGCATTAATTCCATGCACCGTCTCAGGAAATCCACAGGTTCATTGTATGCATGCCTGTGGCTTGTTTAATGGCAGTCACATCACTCAGTAAATATACATACAAATACAGTTGTTAAGTTCGACTCATACTTGTGTACATTTAATTATCTTAGTCCAAAACAGATTACAATGAAAAACAACTACAAACTCCGTCGGAAACAAGGGAGAGACAAAAATGTCCAGTGTAACTTTCCAGATCTGTGTTATATATCACGAGGTCCCAGATGTGTCATGTCCCTTGCTGCATCCACTTCTCTCCACAAGTAAAAAACTGTTCAGCTTCTCCACATCAGTTGAGAACAGGTTTTTACTTGTGGAGCGAAGTGGACACGAGGGATGTAATACATCCGGGACCTCATAATCTATACACACACATCTGGAATGTTACATTGGACATTTTTGTCTCTCCCTTGTTTTTGACAGTTTGTAATTGTTTTTCTTTGTAATCTGTTTTGGACTAAGATAATTAAATGTACACAAGTATGGGTCCAACTTAACTGTATTTGTATGTATACTTACTGTTAAGTCACTTCACTCAACCACTTCAACACATTCATAGTCAATATACATATTTGGGGGGGAGCTGTATAAATTAGATCTGCTGTCAAAAGTTTGAAAAGTGCTTGAAAAGTGTGGCTCTGACACTTCCAAATTCTTACCCGAAAACTGTGGAAACTAGTCCTAAATCTGCCGTGCTTTTGTTGAGTCATGATTCAGTGAATGCGTGTTCAGAATTCTCAGCATAGTTCAACTTTTTGCTCAGATTATCTTAATTTTCACAATGGTTTAGCCATTGTGCACCTTTTCTATCAAAATGAGCTAATTATTGCAAGCAAATAATCAAGTGCTGGCCTACTGTTTATGCTGCCTTAATACTACAAAACCAATGTGACAGTGCAGCTAAATAAAACACATGTGCAGAAATATCTTTAACATAAATTGGGATGGCTAACTAGCAGCCTGAGAGACAGTGTGACAGTGTGCCTCCTAAAGTGCCTGATCACTCAAAAGCCCTTTTAGTCAAAGTATTTTTTAAAAGATAAGTTTTCTCAGTTTTACTTATAAGGAAAACTGCTTCTGAGATATAAACAAAGAAATACCCCTCACTTTAATTTTAGATCTCTTTTCCAAATATTATGAAAAAAAGACTTATTTGTGTTTCAGTACATATGCTTAGTTACTGTGAAGTCAAGTATCCTATATGATGCTAAATTATTATACACTTTCCGCCACACTGTGAGGTAATCATTTACAGACCCTAAATGACTTAGTATAGAATGTTTCCCAAGAGTACAGACTTTGGCCATCTTTGATTTAAATGAGCAAGTGATAAGAATGGAAGAATGGTTTGTCAACTGGAATCCACTGAAATTTAAATATGGACACAGATTGTCCATATGAATTGCTTGCTTAGGATCACAAAAGTAGAGCTAAATACTGAATTCTTCCTCTTGAATTTCACATATGCCATTGTGGATTGGAAGAAGGGGCTGTCTAAACTGGCTGTGGGGCACTTAAGATTCTGAGACATGAAATGTGTGTTCTGCACCCAAGGATCATCTGTAAGGATTGGACACAAGTAATAGGAGCCGCCAGTAAATCTGTGAAAATGGGTGGAAGGTAGTTAGCCAAAACAATTCAAGCATATTATATTAATTCAGGCATTCAGTTTGAAGTTTTCTTGTACTGAATAGCTGTTAATACTAATATGTGTGCACATAGGTTGTGTAGGGCGTCTTATTTTTTAACCAGGAGCTTCAGTGGTAATCCTCTCTAAGGTATATGGTACTCTGTGGCCTCCAAACTATATAGCATGGAACCAAGGAGATCCTGGGACTTACACTTCTCAAAAATTCTATAAACATTTTTTGCCACAACAGCTTGTGGATCGTCATATCCCAGAGGATGCAGTGATAGTTTAATTAAAGAAGTTTGAAATTTTTGGACTTCCGGTTGATGGCGCAGGAGATCCTGGGACTTACACTTCTCAAAAATTCTATAAACATTTTTTGCCACAACAGCTTGTGGATCGTCATATCCCAGAGGATGCAGTGATAGTTTAATTAAAGAAGTTTGAAATTTTTGGACTTCCGGTTGATGGCGCCTCGAATGTGGACTCACCTCCCAGACCTCCCGGGGGTGTCTCTGAACTCCGGCAGAAGGAGGAGGCGAGCAGGCTCGTAAACCCCCCCAGGGACCTGGTGAAGGGGCCCTGGCCAAGGAGCTTTGAGGGGTGGCCTCTTCGATGGCGGAATGCCAGAGAATCGAGGCGCTCCTTTGCTCCGGTGGTTCTTCATGCCGAGAGACCGAATGGTACTAAAGGCGTTAGCCAGATCAAGCGCAGGAGATCAGGCGTTAAAAATGATTCAAGAAGCGTGGTCGGAAGGCCAACTATGAACGTGAGTCAACAGAGAAGCGGTTTTTAAAAGAAAAAGACGCTCCTCACCCTACCCCACGGAACGGGAAAAAGCGAGCAGGGGGGATGCCTCCCATCGTATACGGCTGAGCGAAAGGGGGGGAGCGGGCAGAAACGCGGAGAAAGTGCCGGGAAACACTCACCAGAGCGAATTTAAATGATCAAGCGCAAATTCAGAGAACTTTAAACTTTCCACGATAGTAAACAATCCCAAAAGATGGCGGGGAAGAGGGAGAAGCCGGTGAAAGTGAAAGGCTTAGAGACTCCGAAACCGGAAGCGATGAACGAGACGGCTAAAGCAGTTGCGGAGTACATGCGCCCTCTACTGGAGCAGCTAAATGTCTTCAAGGAACAGATGACGGTGGTAACCCAAGGAATTACAAGTCAAAAAACACAGATAAGTGAACTGATACAAATAATGAAGCAGGACAGTCAAAAAGTGAAGGAAGTGGCTGAGGGTACTCAAAAGGTGAAGAAAAAAGTCAAGAAGCTGGAGTCTGAACAAGGTTTAATGAAAGACCAGTTATTACAA